TTATTAGATGCCTTGGCCAGTGAGTGTATACTTTGACATTGTTCAACAGGGGAAAAAAACACTAGCATACAGATGCACAGCCGGATTAAACGCTTTAAAGTGACCATGATTTAAAGGTAGACGGAATATATTTTGCAGCTTAAATATAAGAAAAGATTCGCCATCACATTCCATTATTGGGTTCTAAAAGACAAGGTTTAAAAGCACCCAAGTGAATGCGAATGAATATCTACACAGATAAGTACAACAAAATGTATTGTTTATAATCCATGAAAATAGAAACGTTAGAAGTAGTAATTTTAAGGAAAATGCTGACAAATTACTCCTCTCGTTAAGCCAAATGCTTATTCTAAAGATTTTTGACGCAATTAATATATTATCTAAGTAGATATACAGTAGATTTCGTAACTCGTTAAATGTGAAGATTGAAATTTGGAAAAGGGGGGTTTGCTTAAAGTGCATTTAGGATTGTTTTTTGTTCGTTGAATTACCACGAGGCGCAAAATTCTGTTTACTAAAGAAGCATTCTGTTTCGATCATTGTATTGAAGGAAAAGGTTAACATAGTTGGGCCAAGTGCTATTTTTCTAGATGTCCAAGGAATTGTCTATGTGAGTAAACGCTGCGGATCACAACCTCTTGTTTACACGTATTGTACTAGAAAAAAAGTAATATAAGCCAGAAAATTATAGCTTTTCAGAGACAAGGAAATTTCCTTTAGCCAAATAGAAAATATGGCATTATTTTAGGGAAAAGAAAGACAGATACAATTAAAAGAATTCAGTTTTTTAAATCTACTACGGTTCGTGCCATAAAATTAAGTAATACATCAGTGAGACTCTCGCTTGTTTCACTAAAGCGAAAACAAGGACCATAAAGAAGCATATGTATTAACACCCGCGACATGCCGTCACTTTTATCTGTCACGCCGCACACAAAATATATCCCAATAATTTCTATCTACAATTGAGGATGAACAAATACGACAAATTAAACAGAACTGGTAGAAGATGATCAGTTTACGCGAAAACTTGGTATTTATTCTGCCGCGCTGTCTTGCATTTAGAATCCTCGAACGGGTTCTCAAAGTAAACAAGTGTATTGAAGACTGCTCAGATACACACAGAGAAGTTATTTATTTCATTTTCGGCAGAAGAAAAGGCAAAGAAAGCAGGCATTCGACGTTCAACTCTCTACTTAAGGCGCTTCTTTACGAAGTCACTTGTTATTGAATTTTTTTAATTGATGTTAGACACATCAATTTGTGAATGTTTATTTTCCTCAACAGTGAGTTGACAGTTTTCAGTCATTTTGAAACCATAACCCAGGCAGACGGATGCATAATAAATACTCTCCAAAACCCACAATTATGTAAATGCTTTCAATCTATATCTATCTATCTATCTATCTACAGTCGACTGGCAACAGTTAAAATCTAAAGTTTTCATCAATATTTGAAGAGGGATCTGAACTTCGTCGTAATCGAACAGTAGCGATATTTGGAAAGAAATATGGCTGAAGGAAATTTATCTTAACATACACAAAACGGTACGTTTACGATTGCCTCTGAAAATTTCATTTGAATTGGTAACTCACTGACCGGAATGTTCAAATATGAGCTAACGAAATATCTTAGTCTTGTGCGCAATACACTTGCAAAATTTTATATAAAGCCCGGGCCTATGGGCTGCAGAGAACAGTTTACAAGCCTGACTTAAGTTTTTCACACGTCTGCTCCTTCACGCGCCTGGCTAAAGGCAGTTAAATATTTGGCGCTCAATTACAGTAGTCGCCGAAGATCACGCAACATGTCGACATATGTATGCGAAAGATTGATAATTTTCCACTAATCAGCATTGACTTAACTTGTGATAATGATTAGCCTGTAGTCTATTCTAAAGTAATTTCGGTCATGATAGGATGCACGCTTTTTAATGAGCTACGTTCTGACCACTAGCAAAACGTATCTATTGTAAAAACTGGCTACTTAAGCAGTTTGCCTTTTTATCATTTATTTTGACTGCCTTTATAAATTCAAATATATTCTATGGAAAACATACACGAAAAAATTATTTCTTGTGCTTGTGTGATGGCAAATTACGCCTTCTTAACATTTTATACTCAATGAAAGGGAAGCTTTCGGTTTTAAAATAGGTGTACAATTGCCGAATAATTTTCTAACCTAGTGACTGCTACACTCGAATTAAATTTTTAGAAACTATGCACATCCTGTTTAAGGAAAAGTACGTTTTCGCCTACAGTTTGAATAAGAAGTCACATAGTTGTCATAAAATATTGAAATAGATGTGGAACATATTTTACGGACGGACTAAGGGACTGCCAAGTCATTGCGCTTGTTGATCGACTGTGGACCTGACAACCATAACTCGAGCAGCTCGCGGCTCACGCGGCTGTCACCTCTTGCGAACATTTCGTACTAGCTGAGCTTTAAATATGGCCGGATAACGTCGAGTGAGGTGCGATCTGTGACTTGGCGGCTTTGCTCCATACTGCTACTGCGTGCTCGGTCATTCGCGCCTGGAGTAATCGCCTGGTTTCTCCGACGTCGTTTTTTTTGTCCACAACTGCACCAGATCTGCTGAACTACTACAGCCGTTTCCTGCCGTGGCAGAGGACTTTCGGTCTTATGACCCGGCGCCTAATGGGTGCTTCCGAGTAGAATAAGAAAGTGTTTAACTGCTTCCGATACATTCTCCACGTACGGGGGAGCTCGCCAATCTTTTGGACCGGTTGGAGTTGGTCTCATGTCTAGTTTGCGCATGCACTGGTTGACAAAATTGGGCGGGTAACCATTTGCTCCCAGTAAGCGTTGAATATATTGTACTTCAGGCACTTTGTCTCCCATTTCTCTGCAATGCGCCTCAACGCGCCGGTATAGCGTTCTTACGCAACCGCGTTGTTGACTAATCTGGTGATTGTTATTTGAGTTCAGGACTTGAATAATGTTGGTCGCTTATCTGAACACTTTTGTTTTTAGGCCAACACAGACTTTGCAGCGAACGAGGACATCCAGGAAGGCTCTCTAGTTGTTTTCTTCTTCCTCGATCGTTAATTGCATGTCCGGGAAGACGGCGTTCAGACGTTCATTGCATGTTAGCACCTAATCCCGATCGATTACGATGAGGGTTTCATCCACATACCGAGCCCATATTTTCGGTCTGTGGTGTTGGAGAAGCAGCCACTCCAACCCCTCAAGACCGCCTCGGCTATGAGTTTGGAAACTGCCGAACCCATTAGCATGCCCTTCATCTGGTCGCAGATTGTTTCGTTGAACGTTAAGTACGTCCCTAGACAGAACTTTGGTTGTTGGAGGATTTGGGCGCGTCCGAGACAATTATCTATTTAATCGTATTTGTCTCTTAGACGTTATTGTATGGTCTCGACTGCCAAGCCGCCTGGAATAAAAGTAAATAGGGACCTGACATCAAAATATATCATGACATCGTTTGGCAAGAGGTCTACTCCTTTACGTTTCTAAAACAACTCTGTTGATAACCTGACTGTGATGTGCGAATCAGCGGTCAAATATTTTAGCCATCGAAACAATCACTTTACCAGTCGGTAGGTTGATCTTCCTTTGAGAAATACAGTTGGTCAGAGAGCTGAACCCTTTTTTTACTTCAGGAAGATCATAAAAGCGGGCCAGGGTCGCTTGTTGTGCTCTCGCAATGCGTAGGTCGATTGCCCATATTCCACCTGCATTCTCCTTCTCCAACACAGTCTTGTTGATCTCGCGTTTCAGCGTTTTAATGGGATTGGATTCGTATGTGACATAGGATTGACAATCCTCTAACAAGGTTTTAGCTTTGTTAATGTGGTCTATCCTGTCTACTACGACAGTGGAGCGCCCCTTATCCACAGGCACGATAGCGAGGTCACTGTCAACCCTGCGATCCTTACGTGCATTACGTTCGACCTTGGAGGGAATGTCGCTAGGGCTATGAGCACTTATAAACCTATTCTGCGGTAACCTATAATAAAGGGTTAGAGACAGAATCCGAGACGTCAGACAGCGATCCTTTCAAGAGAAGGAGTCCCTTGGGAAGATAAGTAAATTTATTCGGTAAATTTTCGACACTGGATCCCTAGGTCGTCATCAGACTTGAGAGAAGTGTGCAAAGAACAGTTAGCATTTCAAAGTGCCGATACAGTTATATAGTCATCTGATGTGGGCGTTAATTGGGAGTTATTATTTTCGTCACATCGTGCTGTACATGATTAGCAGTCGCAATGGGTTAATGGTTAATGGGCAACTGTAATTTGAGTCAGTCGGGGATCAGTCCAGGTCATCCGGTGTGGACGCAAATTGCGGTTCATGTTGGTCTATGTTTGTCGGCTGCAGTCTCCTCCACCTTTCTTTGAGATGTTTTTACCTTCCAGCTAACTCGATACGCCAGTTGATGCATAAATCATTGGAGTGCATGGCCTCAAGAAATTATTTGCCTTTTTTCGAGGGGCAAGCTCCGACGATGCGTGTTTTGTCCCATGCAAAGGTATGTCCTGTATGAAGGCAATCCATAGCCACTTCAGAAAAACGGTCATGTCTCTCCGCTGCCGATTGGTTCTCATAAAGGCGTCTGGAGTCGGATCTTCCTGTTTGGCCACAATATACCGTGTCACAAGCTTCACATGAGATTTTGTAGATGGCTTCTCTCTTGAGGTAGCCAACCCTATCCTTAGGGTGTACTAGCTGAGTGCGTAAAGTAGCCGTCAGTTTGTGCGCCACTTTTATTTTGTGTCTGCGCAAGTGTCTTTCAACGAAGTTCAGAAACGTTCCTTATATAAGGAAGGACTCGCCATGTGTTTGTTTTGGGCGCCTGAGTGGAACTATCTGGGTCCTTTTTGTTGGCTTTTTGTTGTCTCATGAATCAGTGTACAAAGTCTCTGGGATAACCATTGCGGAAAAACAAATTAAACAGATAATAAATTGCTCATTTCTGTAGGTTTCTTCATCAGAGCAGTGTGTCTTCGCTCGGCGTAGCATACTGTTGACGGCACTCATTTTGTGAGAGATGGGGTTGTTGCTCTTATAGTAAAGATTAACTTCCGCATACGTTTCTTTGCGGTAAGCGGACGTTCGTAACGTTCCGTCAGCATTTCGCCGCGCGACAACATACAGAAATGGGAGTTTGTTGTTAACCTCCTTCTCGAGCGTGAATTGAATGCCTGGAATGGTTGAGTTGATGGCCTTGTGGAGCGCTTCAAGATGGCTCTTTTTAACGACAACAAATGTGTCATCTACTAGCAACGATCGAAGCCCCACAGCTTCCCAAAATGCCGACCACAAGTTACCTGATTCAGTGGAAAAGCCCTCCAGACAACCTGGCTCCGCATTTTCCGTCACGCACCTGTGGTTTGCAAAAATCTAAAATTCCAGAGACAGATAATAAGGAGAAGACTCGATTTCTAGGACAAGCCTTTTACGCGCCTGACTTTTCGAATCTATCCCTGAACCAACAAATAAAAAACTGTGGTCGTTTTTATAGTTCGAAGTAAATGGATAAAAATTATGTTCTCCAATTTCTATTCCGGCGTTAATATATTTCCTCATGGGAGACTTAATTACGTGGAAAGCGCCAGCGCAAAGCAACTTCGATTAGAGATTTGCCTAGGCAAATTATTAATTTATTATAGCACTAAGCACTGTTCTTCACATTCAATACCTCATCTGCGTGCAGTCAAGCAGTCGTGGTACCAATTACGAACATTAGCAGTGGATGCGGGATTGCAAATTTTATTATGTGTATGGTTGCATACCTACTTAATTTAATACTTCACAGCTATTTTTCGCTAGCCCTCTTTTGGTGCCGTCCCCGACGAAGGTCCCCGGTGAGATAAACCCACCTAAAACTGTAGTTACGACGATTGTGTATCCTACAACCTACTGATATAGGAGCCATATCTGTATCACGGTCAAAGAGTCAATAACCACAAATGGTTACATTACTTGCAGTCTACTAAACCACAACCATTATTACAGTTAACTTGCATCGTGAACAGTTTCTTGAGGGCAATTTAAAACTGTTGGACGACTAGATACACCCTTTTTTCTAACAAATACACAATGTTTCACAGCGGTCGCATTGTAACTGGATAGCAGGTCTCGCGAAGGTATCTGCAAAGAAGACGGACTCACAGCCAATGGTTATTTGTGTGACACTCTCAGTTATAATAATTGTCTATGTTCTGTCCATTATCACCGCCGCCGCCACCACCACCACCACCACCACAACCATCCTAATCAACACGATCGCTTTCGTTCTCGTCACCACCACTGTAGTCACCACTCTCAAAAGCCATGCTTTTTCTCCGTTCTCACGTCGATAATTTCCTGCATACCAATAAGTTACTTATGAAAGTTGATGTCGGCCGGAGGTAACAGCAACGGAAAGTGCCTAACAATCGTAGGTGTCAGCTAGTGACTGAGGACGTACACATATGCGTAAAAGACTAACAGGGCAAACACGAAACTCTCACAGACTGATTGTGCTTGTCAACGTGCCGCCGTGACGTCAGAAGTGTGAGCCAATGACATTGCGAATGTAGTTCTAATTTCAGAAAGAACACAGTAAAACGTCAGTGCTCCTTGTAACGAAGGGAACGCGTTCGTTCACTCAGTTGATCTGCTTTCATTCCTTCGGTGAGTCTGTTAGGCCTTTACGTCTGCAAGTTTGTCGGTACAAAAGTATATTTTTTCAATATCCATTCTGCAGTCAATATTATTTACCTAAATGTTTTTGACGCCTACCTAGCATTTTCAAATTCTGACTAAACGTGCCTTAGGGTACCGCTTATGATTATTAAGTCCTACAAAAACCAGAAGGGGCGTCTATTCAAAGACGCTTGCTATATATGTAGAAT